TTATAAACATTATAAATGAATATGAATATTTCTTTGAATTCAAACAATAATATTAGAACTAAATATTATGAAGAAGTGAAATGTCTTTTGAAAATAAAAAAAGAACACAATTCAGTAGAAATGACGTTAGAAAATATATAGTGTTTTCATTTTATTCAAATTTGACAACTCGTCAAAGTTCTTAGTAAGCGTATAAAAAAATATTGGCTTTAGTATATATTGACTAGAGTCAACAAATCGAAAAAACAGGGAGAATGGTTAGAGGTTACATACCATGTGCTACAATCTCTGCTTCGATGACATGGGTCAGGGATCGGAATTTCATGCAAATAAAACGACGTAAATGATAAAGAAGTGACAAATAACTCACGATACTCTGTCCTCTTTCAGCACAATCAAGCATTACAACTGTCTCTTTTTTCTCAAATTAAACTTAACGTTAGCCAAAACAATCCTTAACAAATATATTCTTTAATTAATTCATTAATTATCCACAACAAATATATCTACAAATTTTCTATAAACTATTTAACGAACCTTTTTTTTAAAAAAAAAATCAGTAACTCAACCCACTTTAAAAAAAAAAAAACAACCTAACAAATGACTTATTTAATAAACTCTGTCGCTCTGTATAATAAACTCTTTAATTCATTACAATAGTCTCAACATGATGATCTATTATCTTCAAACATTTGTTACAGGCCTACGTGATCATATTTCTACAGTACGGGACAGTATAAGACATCCACTACGCCAAATTTGATCAGGGTACTATAAATATCCACTTTCATACATAAAACAGGTGCCAAATCTAATGAGGACAACATAAAACATCCAATTTTTTATATAAAAGCGCAAAATTTAAGATCATATAAGTACAAGACCAAAACATACACTGACCCTAACATAAAATCATATATCGATGGCTCAATTCATTCACTGATATTAATGGTTAATTCTGCCAAGTGCATGCCGACATACTAAAGCCTTAAAAGATGCATCTTTAAACAAATATCAGCCTTACTTTGGCCCAGTGTGATTGAACATGTCTGATAGCACTGTAACATGTATCGATGAATCATCGAGGCCAATCTTATAGATCTCCACGACAGTAATAAAAGCCTGCATGCTTATCTAGCAATCTCCAACCAACAAACAAAGAAAATGAGCCGTCCTGCCATCAGAAAATATTAGTAGATGCATATTGTAAGCACACTATGCTAATTTCTTTTGAAACCAATTTAAGGCTCAGATTAAAAGAAGAAAGCACTAGGGATACACTTTGCAGAAACAATACCTCAAGATACTAAATCTCCAACATAGCCAGCTTAGATCAGAGGCAAAGCATTAGCAGATGCACTTATAGTAGGGATTGGAACCATTTAACCATTTAAAAATTGCTCCATAGTTCCGGGTAGAATTATGTTGGTCATGGGACAGAATTATTTTAATACTGGTCAAATTAAACGGTTAAACGATTAAATGATTAAACGATTAAGAAAATTTTAGGTGGTTTCAATCTCTAACTTATAGAATATCGCACCAGTCTTTTGGCACTTATTGGAATAATTTGGATCAGTAAGATAACACTAACAGAATGCAATTGCTGAAACCAAAGGCACTCGATATGCTTTGTGAGAATGCTGTGATAACCTCTTCGAATTTCATTCATAGCGATCTTGGATAGAGACGAATGACTAAAGTTACCAGTGATGACGCATATCCGCTAAGTTATAAACCTGAAAGGTTAAGCCAATTAGAACACTTTTCAACACATCATAGAGCGTTAATATACAGCATAAGTTTGAACATGTTCATGGCTATTGGCAACACGCATGGTTATTCAGAAACTCATATGCATATTCTTTCGCGATTAACGTGACTGTGACGCAAAATTGTCGATTAGCATAACCAGATTATTTAATACATTGCGACTATTAAACATTTACACCCATTATGACCCTTACACCTGTTACAACCATTGATCCATTATAACAATTTTATTCATTACGTCAAAATCACATCTTCAAGATGAAAGGTTGCAACCTCTCAAACTCTTGTAAACCAATTACGGCAGACAACTCTAAGGTTAACGAAATATAGATATATATATTCAATTCAATCAAAAAAAAAAAAAAAAAACAAGACTCGAACTAGCTCATAAGAGTCCCAAGTCACAAGAAGCCAGATACCCAAATTGTACATACCACTTGATTCGCTGTTAATAGTGTAAACCATCATTACTATAAATCAGGTAGAAATAAATTAAACAAATTAACATTTAGAACAGGAACTGCGTAGATATATTATAATAGGTTACCTCAAGCCCAAGCTGTTACTGGTTAAAGAACCATGATCATCTAAACAAAACAAAAAACTGAAAATACATAGATGGCTTTCTCAGAGTACTGGCCTCTATGTAAGGCATTTCAGACCAACCCATACAGCCTTTTCGGGAAAAAGACACAAACCTCAAAGCGCTAGATAGTTTTATATCTTAGCTTATTCTGCATAAACAGATCAAATTTAGCTTACAATACAAGAGCATTAGTTATTTTATTTGATCGGCTGTAGTCAGGGCAAAGGAGATCTGCCATCGAAAGCTAACATTAAAGATTTTTCTCACACTGGATATCGCAAGCATTACGCGCAAAATCAAATACACTTATACAAGGCTCTAACCCCTGTAGCTACACAGTGCAGTTATTTGCAAAATTTGATATATATACAATAAAAGATATAAATCACATATATTTCCAGAATCATTTGATTAACATTTATACAGTAAAAGATGTAAACCACATATAATTTCATTATATTTATTTTTTTTTTAAAAAATTAAAAAAAATATTAAATAAAAATAAAACACATGATTGATTAATCATTTTCCACTTCAACTTCAACCTCAACATGTATTTCTTTTGGCTCATCATTATTTTCAGCAATTTTTTTCCTTTTACGCTCAACTTCTTCCATGATATTAATAATTAGATTTTGCGTATGGCAGATAATTACATTCATTTTGGGAGCTTAATCATATGAATTATTTGAATAATTTTTGTTAGTTACAATTACACCAATATCATCAGGATGATAACTGCTCATAAACCCAGCAACACGTTTAATATCATTAAAACTAACATCTCTTTTATGCCTCTGCTTACAACAAATAAAAATATTAAATTCATCATATTCCGTAATTAAATATTTATGACCTACCTAGTATCACCACCAAAATCAGGTACATCTATATGAAGCTTAAATTTATTTGCTAATACTAAAATTACTAATTAAATATAATAATAATGATATTTGATTAATAATATAATAATAATAATAATAATAATAATAATAATTTAAGTTGAAATTTTTATTTATTTGAATATCGTAATAGTTTCTAAAATAGAACACACTTTACAAAACTTTGTTCATCTTGTCGAATTACGAAACCTATTGCGTTTCAGATTATTAATAAATCATGTTTTGAGTGTACAAACCGTGTAAATGAAAGCAAAAAATGGAAACTTGAGGATCAAATTTTAAATGAAATTTGCGAGCAAATGAAAGCAAAAAATAGAAACTTGAGGATCGAATTTTAAATGAAATTTGCGAGCAAATGAAAATGGCATAAAATTTGAAGAGATTGAATTTGCATATAGTTTATGAAACCTTATAGATGTTGAAGGAGAAAGTGATATATATTGGTATAAGGTATACTAAAAAAGGATACATATATAAATTCAACCAAATACGTATTTATCTTGTTTGTCATATTCTTACCAAAAAATTGTTGCATGAATAAATATTACCATTGTGGCGTAAAGAATTTAAAACTGCGTTAACTATGCATACTATAGCACTAATACTAAAAATTTGCAGTAATATTTAACTGATTATTAAAATTGGACATGTTCTTGTCCTTATTTTTTTAAAAAAGATTTTTATTAAATAAGTATCTTGTTTATTCTCTTGGGAAGATAGATTTATCATTTTATGGCTTATATTTTCTAAATCTAATATCATATTAATTTAGGCACAACGAAATTCCCAATATCCGTTTATTACGGAAGCTAAAGAAACTTTCTGGGAAATTACTCAAATGTTGACCTTAATTAATTGCACACAAGTCAAATTAGCGATCAATCTGGTAAATTCAGAAAACCGAAACATAGTCGAGTACTGAAAATATCGGAAATTTTATGAAGTACAAAAAAAATCTTCAAAAGGTATAAAAAAATTTTTTGTCATTATATTTCAATATTTAAATTAATATATTTATTACTTTTATGTTTAGGCATTTAATTGTTTGAACAATCTAATAATTTTCCTATACAATAAAATGGCTTCAAAGTTTTGAATCAAACTTTAATTCTGTTCAAAAAATGGTAGATAGCATTAAAGATTTTGAATGAGCAAAAACTCTTGGAGAAAGCGTAACAAAAACATCTTTTACTAGTAGCATTAAATTCAAATTTAAAGTTTGACGTGAGTTACAAACAATTTCTTCAATTTCATGTAATAATGTCACCAAATTTGTATACTAAAGTTGTATTAATAAAGATTTAAATAATAGCATGCCACGGCAAAAAAAAAAATTTTAATTTTTATACATGTACTGAATAAATTTGAATTTGGATATAAATGTATTTTATAGATTCGAATTGAATATAACAATAATTAAATAAAATTCAAATTAGTTAAAATATAAAAAAACTTCAATTATTTTTTTAAAAAATTTCGTACCCTTGTGATTTTGTTATCTTGTGCGCAAATTAAAATTTAAAAAGCAATTACGTAACTAATTTTGGTGGCGATACTAGGTGCGTTAATATTTATCACGGTCGGAATAAAAAATATACTCTGACTCATAGCTCCTACAATTCTTAAAACCATCAATTGACGATATCAAATCTTTAATTGCATTTTTGTACTTTTTACAATCTTTTTTCACATGGTTTTCCTAATAATAAACAAAAAAAAACAAAAGTAAGTACATCATAATATCATCGTGCTTTTAGTAAGAACTTGTCTTGGACCTCATCCTATACCAAATTTTCAAGTTTACAGTAGACGATTCTTTGCCAGATAACTTAACGTTACTGACAGTCACAAAGCTCACTCCTACCAGCACAACTTATACCTGAAAATACACTTATCATGCAATACTTAGTATAAATAATATATTCATATCTTTGTTATTGTTTTAATTTTGTACTTGTTAACACTCAAATAATTTTTTTATTCATATGCTTGGTGCTGAGAAAGTGCTTGGTGCTGAGAAAAGTGCTTGGTGCTGAGAAAATGCTTGGTGCTAAGAAAAGTGCTTGCTTGGTGCTGAGAAAAGTGCTTGCTTGGTGCTGAGAGAAATGCTTGCTTGGTGCTGAGAGAAAT